TCTTCCAACCATAATGATCCTATGATTCTCAGATAGTGCCACAAGCACACATCTGGGGTTTTTTTAAATAACCTTTAGATTATTTGAGAGTACAAGTGCACTTTTTTCTTTTAAAATGAACCTTTTTAGGTTGTTTCAGGGTAGTACTGAGATGAAGAACTGACCCATTCTATGCTCAATACTGTCCAGTGTGGGTGAAGATGTTTCCTTTTCAGTTCTTTGTTCTTTCAAATTGATGCAGCATTCCTTCTTTCTTGTGTTAATACACTGACACAGGATTTCCTACTTTCTCTCTACCACTAATTGCTACAAATTTATCATTTACTCCCCTTTATTCTTAAGGTGTATTTTTCCCAGCATTCCCTTAATTTTTTTTTCCACAACACAGTTCCGATTACTGCCTTTCCTGAAATTGTTAGTATTTTAAAGTTCAACATATCAATTTATGAGCCAGTACCATTTGACAATGGCAGAATCTTGGCACAAAGCCTTACGAGCCAGACGAAAATACAGATCTACAGGTTCGGGCTGTGCACAGAGCCATTCATATTAAAAGATCTGCAACAACGGTAATTCTAGACTGACATATGTTGGACATAGGCCCTTTCTCTAAATAGAAGAAACCCACACTAAAGCAGCTGGGGGGCCAGGGCAGGGAAAGACAGAAAGCATTATTATTAGCTTCTGCACTTTCTTGTGCTTAAAAAAGGCTAAGGTCTTCATTTTATCCTTGATCTTTTGCAGAGCAGAGGGCAGAAGGTGAAAGTGTACTCTCACCTCAGAAGGTAATCCTACAAGCAGGAATACCAATTCCTAAAAGATTTTTAAGTTGTTTTAGTTGCCGATTTTTCAGGTTCTAAATACGGCAAACAAATGCCCAGCTTCCATATAACTGATAAAGAATGACATTTCTGATTAAATTTAGCCATGTTTTCCAGTATTTTCATAAACTACTTAGCCACCATTATGAAAGAATATTTACAAAACTCTGGAGCATACCACCAATATGTAGATCAGAAACATCATGCCAATTTACTTACACGTGGAAACACGTATTCTGCTTTACAAATTACTTCTGACTCAATCTGTCAAAACATGACACTTAAATGTGAAAAATTACACATATCAAAAGAACGTAGTCTACCTTCAGTATTAATACCACACCACAAAAGCCTGAGTACTTAAACCAACAATTCTAGTTCAAGCCCTACTAGCTGTCTGTAAAACCTTCACCTGCAGGAGTATATGTACTCTAGTAAGCTCACCCTTCCCATTGTCTTTTTAGCTCCTGACAATTAATATACTGCATTTCAAATTTCAGGATAACTACTTCAATACACCTTTAAATCTGTGGTTTGTACATCAAGTATAGAAAAATACTAATTCCAGGTTTTGATGGCTCAAAAGTTTCATTGCATCTTTCTTAAAAACCCTGTGATGCAATCTCATTAATGTAATTAATATTCTTGGCACAGTCTGAACTTATACCCACAGATACTGTTTAGACCAGCAAGATTTAGAAGCAGCTAATGTCTGAAAATAAATACAAGAGAAAAAACCACTTTATTTTCATACACACTGAAGCTGGAGAGTTGACAACATTAAAACAGAAGGAATGTTTAATAACCCCCTAGAGCCTGGCAAATTAAACATCTGCAGGTGACTAACGAAAAATCTAATTATCTGAACAAAATTCCAAGTTATTAGTTACCAAAATTAAGTACTCAACCAAACAAGGAAAGGAAAAAACTCTCCTCCCATACTAACAAAAAGCATGTTTCCTCACTGGAATATGAGCACCAAAAGCATTCATGTCCTAGTGGCTCTTTAACATAAGAAGTAATTATATTCTTTTTCCATATAAAACTGAAGTTTAAGAGATACTCAAAAAAAGTGTACTTTTTCCCTTCATGTTGTCCCTAAAAGAAACCCTAGTATCCACAAACCATACCTAGGCTGTTCTCCCATGTTTTACCATCAAGATCTTTTCTATCTTGATAAACAGGCCATGGTCATCTTGTCTCAGTTTAAAACCTGATTAAGGCATGGTAATTTAACAAAAAGTAATCCCTAACCTTGCTGCCAAGTACATGCAACAGCTGGATACATTCTAAAAAAATTAAAGAGTATAAGTTCTAGAACTTGATCATTAGCACTGTCAAATATTAACAATTAGTTAAGTCAATGGTAAATTTATCCAATACATATCTTCAGCACTGAACCATCTTCACCGGTATCAGTCACACATACACACAAAGTTAAAAGCGTGTGCCTAATTGAAAATGGGGTGCTGTACTGTGTGTTACAAGCATTGTCCTTATATCACATTCACATTCCTCACCTGTAAGATATGCCTATGCTTACAAGCAAACCAAATGCTTTAACATTTTTTGCTTGGAAAATAAACCAAGAAAAAACTTGACAGCTGTCATTTCAGGTGCTGCAATAACTATTTGGCATTTCAAAACAGTTTATTTTATTACCCTCTGTACTTCAGTACAAGATCACACTAAAAGCAAGCATGCCCATTTGGAAAAAACAGACTAAGTAAACTTTTTCCTAATGACAACTTTCATTTGAAATCACCTCTTTTTAACATTTTCATAACTGGAAAAGAGATTAAAAAAAGCTTTTAAAAGACTATGTACTTACATTCAATATATCCAAGCATTTAGGTGCTTTAATTCCACCAACCTAGTGAATACTCTAACCCAGCTCATATAGATATTTTCATGATGTCATTGAAGTCAGCAGAAAACATGAAGATAAACCAGTCTCACACAGGGAAGTTGTACTACCAACAAAAATGTCCTTTCTTAAGAGTAAGCATTAAGCAAAGCCAAATAATTGCAGCAGACAGCTTGTATGAATTACCTGGGTTTAAATTTTGAAATGCATCTGCTACTTAGAACCTCAAGAAGTTCAAGCCCCTTTAAAACGACAAGGTGCTCTTGTTCTGCCTATCAAGCTAGTTATTGTACTGTCTTATGGTCTAACACTCTTAGGGACAAGAATTCTTTTAGGTAGCCATGATCTCCCTTAAATTAAGATCTAAAAAAATATAATACTTCAGCATTTCATTCACGCAACAAACCTGGAGATCTTTTCCGACAGATCTGCAATCCACTCAAGTCTTGCAATTTAGCAGTCATACAGAAGGAACTAAAATCAAGTAGCTGTTCAATAGTTCTGAACTGGGATGCAGTGATTGCATGTCCACAGCATTTTGGGAAAAACTTGTTTTGGGGAGAAGGCTAACAAGCAGGAAGTACCAGATACTCGCCCTGCTACTGTCCTCTCTGCCCAAAAAACACAAGCTCCACTCCGCTCTATTCTAAAAGATAGGGCTTGAAAGCAATTGCCCCCAGCACTAGCAGAAGACAAGATGTCAATTACAAAAGAAGGATACATGATATTAAAATTTTAAGAATGACTGAAATTCATGGCAACTATGAGTTATTTTGAATTCTTATATACATATAATACTATGCATACATCAGACTTCTTAGCTGGGCTTCAAAGGAAAAAAAAGTAACATTAGCTACCAGAACATTTAAAATCATACCAGAAGTGCAGGAAGTACAAGCTACCATTTTTTTATTTTTTCCTGCGTATGGCCCACAAATAATACTTAGTTCTATCTAGTACCATAAGTAACTACTGATGAGCATGAAGCTACCATTCAATTTGTTTACATAAACTACTTACACTAGACAAATTTACGAAGTGAAGAAAACAGACCTAGACAATCACCCCTTTCTCATTTTCTTAATCCATCTCTGCAAATCATCAACAAATATGTCTAAGGAGAAATATTACTTCCTTTTTCTCAGTTCAATTCATTTAATTAAACAGGGTCTGCCAAAATCTCTGAGTTTAACATACAGATCAATACGCTACGCAAAGAAAATCCGTGACAAAACAGATTTAATACTAGTAGATTATTTGATTTTACCTTGCCTCATCAGCATTAGCTGATGCTCATGTCTAGCTGCTTCCATTTCTGCCTCTAGTTTCTCTTTGGCTTCTCTAATGTTCCTGTCAACCTGTTCACGCTGTTGCTTTTCCATCTCATCAAGAGCCTTCCACCGTGAAGCATACTCAAACTCAAATGTTCCAGGCTGAGCAAAACGTGGAGGCTGTATAATAAAAATTTTGCAGTTAAAATGTACAAAAGGACACATTTAGATCAGCAGCTTTAACAGCCAAAGAATTTATAAACAACCACTTCAAGTGTAGATCTGGCTTTAAATCAACCTGCCAGATGACTACACTCTAAAGCAGTCAAAGCTTAATTCAGTTGTTAAGACAAGTAATGAGATCACAGAAATTGTCTAAATGAAATTAAAAATTCGCATTTACATCAGTACAAAATACTAAGCTGCAACACTAGATTGTGTTCAGCCTTCTAAAGCAAGCAGTCAATTCATAAACCCAGTTATTTAAATACCAAAGCTTACTAGACAGCTCAGAATATTAGCCAGAATCTCTAAACATAAAAAGGTGCCAATATATTCAAACACTAATATTGTAACTAACAGTGACACATTTTTAAAAAGTGGTATTCTACAGCCTTATCAGAACAAGCACTTTAGCTTCAAGCAACATGATTTCTAAATGGCAATCAAATTTCAGTATTAAAAATTAGTATTATCAGATTCCACCTCATGATCAAGACTCACTTTCTCATGTCACACTCAAAGTTTTATCTGAACCATGGAACCTGCAAAGATTCACATTTCACTGACTTTACAAACAGTTAAGGGGCTATTCAGAGAACAGAAGATCTGCAGATATACAAATCTCTGCAAGATTAGACCACATCCCTAATCCATAGAAGACGACAGCCTGGCTGGCAACAAGCTCCAACTGACCGCAGTGTAGGCCAGGAATCCATCTACTTCAGTAAATGCATAGAAAGTCAAATCAACAAGTCTGAATTTGTACTACGATTATGAAATCTTGGCAAGGTCCTATTTAATCCTTTGATACAAACCAGGACAACATACAAAACACTACTTCCTGTTACACAAACTCAAAAATAAAAACTAGCATATATTCACTAAGCTAAGTACATAAATAATGGGTTATAAACTAAAGCTAAACACTACTTACTTGTGATACTGTTGTGTTTTTTGCATTAGCTTCTCTGGGAGCCCATCTTCATCATCAAATTGCTCCATTGGTTCTACAACAACAGGTCGAGGTGTTCTGGAAGACAGTTTCATTTTAGTAATTGAATTATAAATGAAGCAGTATAAAGTTATTTTAGTATTTTGAGGAAACACTCCAGAAAGCTAACACGTTATCTATAATTCCTGTGTCTTGCAAACTCTTCTTAAATCACAGAATTCCAATGAAACCTGATTTTAAGAATTATCTTTGAAAATAATTGCTCCTATACCCAAAACCAGCTATTCCGCCTAGAAATCACAATTTAGTTGATGTAGTTCTGTTTGCTATGAAGTATTTAAAGACTGGGAAAAAAAAATTCTCAAAACCATCTACAAACAATTACAAAATATTTAGGACGGAACTACCTTTTTGTTTTCATCAGTGAGGCAACATGGGGGCTATGATTATACTGGGAAAGCACCAAACAAACCCAAAACAGAGCAACACAATCTGTTCGTATTTCCACAGAATATTAAGTCACTTTTGAAAGTTATAGAGCAACTGAAAACGGCTTGATAATTTCCTATTACTATTCTAGTGATAATTAGAAAAACATTTCTGCTTAAGTTATTTGAAATCCATTCTTTGAACAACCATACTCTCACAATCAGAATCCTAATTTATCTCTGAAAATACCTTCCTTGAATTCTCATTATCCGTAGTAATCAGAGGTAAGTATTAGCCAGTACTGCCAAAGACAGCCGTGTAAGGCTCCTCAATTGTGTAAAAAGCCCTCTGCATCAGTCCTGGGAGCACAGCCTATTAATACACACCTTAAAGCAGTAAGAAAAGAGCTAGAGAGACTATTTTCAAAAATCCAGCGCTTTTTTATTGTCTTACACACCTTTATTTCACTTTGCAGATCTTTATTCAGGAAAAAAAAAAATCAATATATTCTAACATCAACAGTTGAGAAAGACTGGAATCACAAAGCACAACTCAGCAACTGTATCTCCTGATGTTATCTGTATGGCAATTGTTGGCAGTTCTCTTATTTAAATGCAACTGAACTGTGGTGTTAACAAGTTATGATTTAAAACTATTTTAAATCTCTAAATTAACACTTCAAATGCCTAGTTTTGATATATTTAGACCATGAATTTAAAGATTTTCTTCTGATGAGAAAAATGAGGAAAGAGTTTTCAGATAAAAACACAAAATTTTAGATTCTGAAGCAAAACACTGAAGTATCATGGTAGTAGATTAATGCTAATTATCTTTGCAACTGCACATTAAAGAACATGTCAGCCCCCTAAGCAAGACAAAGACCAAGCACTTTTTATTCACTCCGGCCACAGTTAGATGGTCATGTCAACCCCACTAATCTTGCCAGCTGGCAAAACAAGAATACCCTCCCTCATATCCTAGTTTCTTTTCCCCAGCCATATCTCTCATGCCAAGAATAGCATTCATGTAACACTGAACTAGATTAGTTCCCTTGTTTGGCTCACCGTGCTTCCATTCAAATACTAACGCCAAGAAAACCCCGGGGATAAGAACAAATTGCTGGCACCTACCATAACAGTAAAGAAGTATGCAGATTAAATTTATTATGTAGCCACCAGGTCAGATCAGTGGCATCCAGGGTTTATGAGATTATCAAAAGAAAGGGGAGTTCCAGACCCTTTCCCCACCTGCAGTCTCCTCCTGGCAACATTTTCTCCTGCCTCATCCTCTGCTGGACCTGATGTTCATAGCAGCCATGTTAGCAAGCACCCTCACATGCTTCAACAGCCAAAAATGAACCCAACAGAAACAGATGGATACTTTTCTGTTGTTTTAGGAAGCACAAGTGGCTTATGGAAATATCAAAAAGTTCTCAAGCAGATAAAAGACCAACAGCATAGCCAGGGCAGAAGAGAAAAAGAACTACAAGTTCCCCAATTTGATGGCAGCAAGTTTCCATGCTGTGGAACCACAGCCTTATTTTCCCAGATGAGAATCGGAACAATAAAAATTAAAAAAAAAATCCTGAATATCTATAATTTCACACAGTCTTTAAGAAAGTATTTGAAAATGTCACTAGTGAATGTGTTAAAGCACAGCAGCTAACAACTCTCTTCAGCAAGTACAGAAATATGAGACGCGAGAAGTGCTGTAATTTGCAAGCTTGCTTGCCCTTGAAATAGAAAGTTTTCCAGAAATCGTTACTTCTGCAGAATCTGTCTCATTTTAAAAAAAAAAAAAGTATTTTACTGCATTGTTTTGCTAAGAAACAGACAAATATTATTTTGTCACATTGTTACTAGGATCAAGAGTGCAATTAATGAAATACAGTCTCACTAGAAAAAGCCCTACTGTATGGAGTAGGAAAAGTAATACTGCATATAAAGAAGGAAAAGCAAGACACTGCTATGAGACTCTCATATGGTAATTACAAGTCTTATAAACAGTAAGCAGAAAAAGATGGTTTTCCTCATCAAAAAAAAAATCAGGAGTATTTGGGGTATTCACATTAAACACCTTAACTTCTCACCTCATGGCTTTCGTAATTTGAAAATAAGAACTAGGGAGTACCCATGAATACAGTTTTCTTTCACATCAGAAACACATACTCACACAAATTCAAACAAAAGCCTGTGAACTTACGTTGTTAGCAAGAATGCCCCATCACTGCATCTTTCTAGAGCTTTCCGTGCTGGAGGTTTTGCTGCAAACTCTACGAAACCTTTTCCTGTAGCTCTGCCACGATCATCTACTACAACAACAGCTCTTTCCACTGGCCCAAATTGAGAGAATGCTTGTTCCAGCAGCTCATTAGAAACCACAGGTGAAAGATTCTTGACTGTGAGGGCAGCTCCATGTGTAGCAAATCGAATTCGAAGTGGTCTGCTCTTCAAAATAGTACCATCAAGTTCTGCCTTTGCTATTTCAGCCAGTGTCCTAGATTCCTTTTTCAAGATACAAAATATTACACATACTTTATTTTCAAAAACAACAGCTATCACTTTTGTGTCTGTGTGTCCCATCCCCCTGTCCCACCCCCCCAAAAGTAGCAAAGTTTTTTTTTCCTTGAGCACATTAGCATCAGGGTCATTCAACTTCCCCCCTCCTCCTGCCGAAAAAACCAACCCCAAAGTTGTCCGCTGATTGAAAAAAAAAAAATATGCATTTGTCATCCTCTATGATTTATTCTAAAAAATTACATAGCTGCAAATTCTTGTTGCACATTAGAGGACTTAACAAATTGTAAATATGATGGATACTTTTGTGCTGTTCTGTAAAGGCTTTCAGTAGAGTTGAAAATTTGATGCTTTTTCGTATTTCCCTACTGAAATGTTTATATTCTGCACCCCTAGCTCCATATAGTAGGAAAGAAACTGTATTTTCAAAGATTACTGGTTCTAAGGTGTTTTGGGTTTTGGTTTGGGTTTTTGCTTTTAAATAACTCAAAATATCACACTTGCTCGTTACCACTGTCAGATGAACTCTCAATGAATGTCCAATTCAAATTTCTTCAACAAATTATGAAATTTCCTTCTTTGCTCATCTATTCATTCTCACGTTTATGGGCTTTCTGCACCTACATCCATGAGACAGTCTGCATCAATAACTGCCTGTTTTCTCATTTCAGAGATTTTCATTGAGTTTGATACCTGCAATCCCTCACATTTAAAGAAATTATTCTTTAGATCATAGCCATTTTCTCCACAGTTCAACTGACTAGGGAAATTGTTAAAAAATTACATACTCCCTAAACATAATAGAAAAGGCAAGTTCAGGTAAAAGCTTTATCTAATCTATATTACATACAAAACTCAGTAATGACATGTAAATATATCTCTGTTCCTCCAGTAAACCCCTATTTCAGGCTGGGGGATTCTCAGGGTAAAATACGTATGGCAGAATGCCACAAGCACTTATCCTTAAGATGACAACCAAAAAGAAAAAAATCCTAGCCAGTAAAACATATGGAAAAATCATAGCTAGAGGCACCCAAAGCACTCTAAAGCTATTCCTAGAATTTTATAAATCACTGCATTCTAGACATGACAGTCATGAAACCTAATCCCGTACATTACACTGACATTTAAATACAGTATCATAAGCTTTTCAGATTATTCCTTTTTTGCATGCTCAACTTGAGCATATTTGACCGAATATTGTATTATGCCTAAAAATCTAGTCTTATCTGGGCACAAGTAATTTAAACAAGCCAAGGTCCCATTTCTTTGCAACTCTGAGATTACATGTTCTGTTTTCACGATGTGTGAGCAGTGGTATTTCCAAACAATCCTGTCTGGTCTTTAATATCAACTGCGTTTTCATAGACAAAACCTACGCTCATAACGAACCGTACAGGCTGAAATTTGCTTCTGCACAAAGAAGGATTTTTTCCTAGTCCTAAAGTACGATAAATTCTCCCAGTTAAATAAGTATTTAGACAAGTATCACACGAACAAAGCAGGTCACACAAACGCATGTTCCACTCGCTGAAGAACAGCAGGCTGCAGCAGTACCCCCGGTAGCAGCACGGCAACGGTAACCGGCGGAGGGGCCTCGGAACCCGCGGAGTGCCGCGCAGTGAGGCGGGAACCTAAGCGCGAGGAGCTGGGAAGGCTGCTCACCATGCAGGCCTCCGCCTTGGATGTACGGAGGCAAACGGGGGAGGGGGGAGAAGGAAGAGGAAGCAGAAGGAATAGCGCAAGCAGCAGGGAGAAACAGAGAATGAGGGGCTGCTACTGTCTTTTTCTACACCCGCTCGACAAGGAAAGGCAGGGGGGAGCAAGGGACAGAAGTCTCCCGCTTGCAAAGGCAGCGCCTGGGCTACTGGGCGGCCACAGAGACTCGCACGAATCCTCACCAGGCGAATGAAGCCAAAGCCACGGTCCCGATTGATGAAGACCTCGCTAGGCTCCCCGTAGCGCTCGAAGAGGCGCTTGAAATCTTCCTCGGTGATATCAGTAGGCAGATTCCCCACGAACAGCCGGCAGCGCTGCGTGTAGCTCTTCTCGCCAGGTTTGAGAAAGCTTTTGATATCGATGGTGAACCCAACCTCCTGCTCTTCATCTCCACCTTCTTTGCTC